GAGTCCCAGAGGCCAGGAATGAGGTGGTCAGAGGATCCGAACAGGACTGAACATCCTAGTTAAGGGCGAACACACATCTTCTTCAAATTGTGTTAGCACATGGTCCAGGAATCGGTACAAGCTGTCCTATTACTTCAGTAGCATTTTCTTCTCATTAGTAAGGTCTTGTCTTTTTCAAGTTAATAGCGTGCCCTACTGACCAGAGGAAAATGTTCTACTGGGTTGATAGTTCGTACTAATTTGAGCACGCTCTATCAGTTCAGTAGCGTGTTTCATACAAGTCGTGACATATTTGATTGGGAAGTAATGTGTACACACATATATATACATACGCCCAGTAGCTTCGCTTCCCTGAGTCGAGGGGATCGGCTATACATGTTGGTCCGTAGTCTTGGTGTTGGCTCGAGCTTTTTTCGCGCGGCCACCCGGACTCAGGCTTCCGGATCCGGCACGATTTAGTCTCGGCCATTTCTTCGAGTGAGTCGCCAAAGGGGCCCGTCTGCCCCCGACGCGCGTTCATCGGTGGAGGATATTACCGCCCGTGGTTCAGGGGCGGCCAAACCGACCCCAACCAAACCATACCTTTTTTTCAAAGAAGGCGGAAGTGCGCAAACACAGGGAGCGAATGAGATCCTTCCTGAGAGCGTCGCTCTCGCAAGACCGGGTCGCGATCCCAGGGGCATGCGGAGAGACAACTAAATCGAGACGTTTTGGAAACCACTGCACTAGTCAAGCGCTTCGGGGACGAACATAAACGAAAGCACCAGCGCGGGCAGAAGTCGCGACGACGGGCCGGCTGAAAGAACGACGCAATATAAGGAACACGGCCCAAGGACAGTCATCGGGGAACGTCAACGGCGCATGAAATCCACGCGCTGCCTTCGAATGGCGTGGCCAACGGTGGCCGGCCAGAGCGACGCGTCTGCGCTGGCACGGGCGTTTATCATTCAAAATATCATGCCTCGGCCCTGCGCTGCGTAGCGCAACTCTTTCTGAATGCGAATCAGAGCTCCAAGGTGCGCACATGATGTCGGTGAGCCGAAACGCGCACTGAACCTGGGCGGCTAGGAAAAAACGCAACCACCCCCAAAACTAACATATCCCAACGAAGCAGTCGCATGCTCGGCGCGCGGTGGAGCACGACCGCCAGGGTTCGAACAGTCTTACAACATACCTGGCAAACCTTGAACGATTTCTCAAAAGTGATCGGCACACTCACGACACCAGAATTACAAATGAATCGTTTCGCTACTTCGGGAATTTGACAAAGGAACACCACGCCTTTTGTATATGGACGAGCAAGTGAAACGTCACCCACCCTGACGTACGCATACGCGTGCAGGGATGGCGAATCGAGCCAATGATGGCCCAAAGAGACGGTCCTCCTGTGGAGGGGTTTTGACAGCGCGCGCCCGCTACATATCAGGAGCCTCGAAAGTGCACAAACAGACATATCATAGGATCCACACTTGGCTCTATCACAGAGCGCCCATGTCTGCGTTGGCAAGTATGGCTCCGGTGCCGAGCCAGGCGCATGAGTGCGCACGTGCTGCACGACCAGGCTCACGCTCCCCATGAAAGACTGCGGACGTTTCAAGGCATTGGCCACGCATCCCCACAGACGCAACACAGTACGTTGCGCATATTGAGGCAATGAGTTGCAAATACTGGGAACCAATAGTATGCCTGGGTGCAACATGCCAGCACATGCCGCACAAACCACACGTGCAACCCCCATCCCTCCATTTCCGCCTGATATCCCGCCCACATATTTTATAGATCCTTCCCTCCCCTGCCGCCCCCGTTCGTCCTCCCCCTCCCCACCCTCTCTCAACTTCCCCCTCCTCCGCCCCCCTCCTCCTCGACCCCTGCCCCGCTCGCCCTCGCGGCGGCGTGCATTGTGCAGCGCGTCGCCAGGCGAGGGAACTAAGGGAGGGAGGGGGGAGGGAGGGGGGAGGGGGGAGGGGAGAGAAGGGGGGGGAGGGGGACAGGGCGAAAGACGCACACAGGGAGGGGGGCGTGGGAGGGGAGCCAGAGGAGGTAGGAGAGATACGGGGGGAGCGGGGGAGGGAAGGAATGTCGGCGGCAGGGAAGGAGAGGAAGAAACGAGGGCAAGGGCGACGCGGGCGAGGGGAGCTAATGCGAGGGGGGAGGGAAGGGAGGGAAGGGGCACTAGGGAGGGAGGGGGCGAGGAAAAGCGAGGAAAGCGGGGGGGGGGAAAAGAGGGCAAGGAGGAGAGACAGAGAAGGTGGGGACGCTGTGAGGACAGCGGAGAAGTCGACAGATTGGAAAGAGGGAGATGGCGAGAGGCCAAAGTCAAGAGCAAGGGAAGAGTGGCGAGGGGACGGCGAAGGAGGGAGAGACACGAAAGAGCAAGGAAGGAGGAGAGGATGGCGGCGGAGTAGCGGGGAGAAGATCGGGAAAGACCAGCCGGCCTGGACTCCCGCGGCACCTGCGACAAAACCTTGCCCTCCGCCCCCCAGCGAGGCCCAAAGTGCACTCGCGCGGCTAGTGGGGGCCGCGCGACTGTCTTTTGGGGCCCGCCCGGCGCGGATCCCCGAATGAAAATTTCGAAAGTGTGGGCCCGGAGCTCGTCACGGTAGGGTATCATTTGGGCGCGCCCCAAACCGGAGGCTTCCGTGACGACCCCCCCGGGGGCCCCCGCCCGTCTGTCCTGTTTCCCGACTCGTGCCTAAACCGGAGGCTTCCGCGACGAGCTCGGGGGGTCCCCGGGCGCAACCTAAACCGGAGGCTTCCGTGGCGAGGGGGCGCCCAAACCGGAGGCTACCGTGACGACCCCCCCCCCGGAGGTTTCCTGGTCGGGGGCCCTCGGGGGGGCCCTCTCGGGGCCCTCCAGGCCTTCCAATGCAATCTCGGAGGGCCTCAAGAGGGCCCCAAGAGAGCCTCAGGAGGGCCTCCAAATTTCAAATGTATCGACAGACTTTGAAGCTCTCCTGGAACCGTCTTGAGCCCGCTTGAAGACCTCCGGATCGCACTGGAAGGCCCTGGAGGGCCCGGGCAATGCCCCAAGAGGGCCCCTAGAGGGCCTCAAGGCGGCCCTCAGCGAGCCCCACGAGGGCCCCAAGGGGGCCCAAGAGATACCCAAGAGGGCCTTTTGTGCACGACCACTTGCGTATATGAACACTGCTGTCCAGGACCACTCTCGTATTCGACTGCTATTGTATATCACCCCTCCCTCCTGGCTCATCCCTTCATCCTCATCGCTCCTCCTGATGATCAGGGCAAGTCGCCTGGTGATTTTTTGGGCGGGCTGGTGGGGATACGCGGAGCGCCAACAATTTCTGGAAGCCTGCCTGAGGGCTCAAGGGAGCCCCAAGTGGGCCCCGCGAGGCCCACAAGAGGACCTCGGGAGAGCACCGCCTGGACCCCAAGAAAATCCAAAGTTAGGGCGCGCGCTGCATCCTGATTCAGGAATGTCTCGGGGTCCACTTGATGCCCCGTGGGGGCATTCTCCGGGACTTCCTGAAACCCGCCCGAAGCCGGAGGGAGCCCGTGTCGCCGAGAATTCGCTAATACGGCTTTAATAAAATCTAGTTACCCCCCAAGAGGGCCCAAATCCAATATTCAAAATGCTTTTTGGCTCTGGGCCATCTGGGGATCCATCCGGGGCCCTCCTGGAGCCCCCGCGGGGGTCTCCCCAAGGCCCACCCACAGCCCCCTCGAACCCGTTGAGGGCCCCAAAGAACGCCCCAGAGGGCACCCATCAGAAGGGGTCCAAATACATGTTTGGAGGGCCCGCATCAGGATGCATGGTGCAACATGAGTTTGGGCCGTTGCGTGGGCCACGCCGGCGCCCTCTTGGAGCCGTCTTGGGCCGCGCCGGGGCCGTCCTAAGGCCCCGAGGATGCCCCGAGAGAGCCCCGAGAGAGTCCCAAGGAGGCTCCTGCGAGCGACATTTGCATGCACACTTTTACGTCGTATTGTTTCCGCGTGCTCCCTTGAAGCAAGAGGGGAAGGTTTTCCTCGATGTGGCACGCATTGCCGTTTGCCCCACGGCGCGGCGTCGTGCTCAACAACAACGTCCCCCGCCATGCCATTGCGGTTGCATGATGCACCGTGCACCTTGACCTGGGGCCCACTGGGGGTCGGCTTGGAGCCCTCTCGGAGCTCTTTTGGGGGCCTCAGAAGACCTTTTTTCGGAGCCTCGTTGCGGCTTCGGGGGGGGGGGGGCCTCGCCCAGCTCGCTCGAGGGAAACCGCGAGCTCCGGAGTCCGACCGCCAGCATCAATCGTCTGGCAACCCCCGCATATCCTAACATTCTCGGTAACCTAGGAAAGCGGGGCCCTGGGCGTCAGCCGAAATCGACGGCGAGTGGCTGTCAAATCCTTGCAATTTCCGCGAGGGGCCAGCGTCGAGCATTGATTATGAGACAAGCACAAAACGCACGCGAGTGGTAAAGATGATCGAGTCAACAGTAGCACCGAAAAGTGTCAGCGGGCAATCATATGTTTCCTCTAGTTGCGAAGCCGCTCGCGCCCCAAGATGCAGATGCGATGGTGCCGCATCTGAAAACATTGTAGACGCACGCGCAAGAATGGCAGCGATGCCCCCATTGTTCCTTCGCCAACTCCGCCGAACAAGCGCGCATTCCGACTCGATCGAGGAAGCTGCGCGGCCCACTTGCTGCACTTCATGACTTCTGTTTGCGAATTCCTTTGGGGCGGCGCCGGTCGTGCCCCGAGAGCGCTTCGCGCGTGGGCAATTCGTTTTGCTCGAGTCTGCAGCCAACGCACGCGCGGACCGCATTGACCTCGAAAGCGCAAAGCTCGCTACGCAAGGGTATGGTTTGCTAGGGGTCGGTTTGGCCGCGCCCGAGTGGTGGGCAGGATAGGCAGGTCCGCCCATGAGTCTGGAAATTCCTGAGAGACAGATTTTGGTTCATTATCCCAACGATAGAATTCCTTACCATCATAGAGTACTGTTAGTCAGTGTCGGAGGGGCTCGCTGGATCTGGTCTTTCCCCCGACTTCTCGGCGCGCATGGTTGACCTGTCAGATCGGGCGGTGGCGAACGCGATGATCCCGCTGATGAGGGGCGCCCCGTGGCCTTCAGGTAGGCAGGTGCACGGAATCGACGGCCCGATCACCCCGAGAGACCTGGATGGGATCAGAGCGGAGGGCAGGGCTCTAGCCGAGTGGGTGAGCTCGGCGAGCCATCCCGACGCCACAGCGGCCTCCACGGCTGTCGACGCACCTGTACTCGGACCCGTCGTGTTTGTTCTTCGCGGAGGAGGTCGACGACAGCCTCTCGGGCAATCGGTCGGAGACCGTGATGATGGTGGCCGAGGCGCTTCCGCGGCGCGGCCTGGGGTGGGCGGCGGCGGAGCCAGCCCCGTCGGATAACAAGCTACGCTGGGCGCGCGAGAAGCTGGGCGGCGAAAGCCGCAACTCGAGACTGCTCTCTCGAATGCTGGGCCCGAACGCTCAGACGGGATCGACCTCGCTAATCACGTTTGTCAGGTTGCTGAAGCAGTCGATGTTGGCCGCGGGTGCGCCTATCGATCAGGGTCAGTCTTTCCTGGGGTTAGCTCAGATTGTAGCGGCGTCGGGGCGCGAGTTTGGCGCGTCGCACGCCTTCTGGGGGCGCGCGTGCCGACTCAACAACGGGGGGGGGGGGCCCTGACGCACCGTCATTTGATGATGGTCTTGCACATGATGGTGAGTTATGATCAGTGGAATTTGCTCAACCTGGCGGCGGCGGAGTTCGCGGCGCGCCGAGCGTTGATGATCCAGCGGGCAGTGCGTCTCAACCCTCGGAACCCCCAGCTCGACGGCCACGACTCGTGTTTGGCTCGTGCTCTCAGCGCGCGCGGCGGCGTGGTCGCCGCGCAGTTCGACATGTAGATGGCCGGGATGCGCAGGACTCAGGCCCAGCTCATGATGAGCGATCGTTTGTTGAGGGAGGAGCGGGGGGACTCGAAGCGTCAGAAGACTAGCAACCAGGACAAGGACAAGAGCGGCCCGCGTGGCAGGTCGCGGGGCCCATGATGGCTCTACGGTCCCGGGGCTGCGCTGTTCGCCGCGGCGTTTCCCCGTATCATGATCCCTCTGAGGGCACGTCCTGGGGCCCGACGCCCGCTACCGTTCCTGCAGGTCTGCCCGCAGGTAAGGGCGGTTGCGCTGGCCTCGCCTCGGACGTCGACGACGGTGTTCACATGCTGGAGCCGACGAGCCGGGACGTCTTCCCCCTTCCTTGTGATGGTGATTGGCGAGATGCGCCCTTGATGGGCATCGTACCGCGTTGAGCTGCTGCCTGTGATCGGAGGTTCGCTGAAGTTGTGGGCTCTCTGAACGCGCTGGCAGTTGCTCGAGCGGGCCATCGTCTTCGGCGGTGTTCTTCGGCATCAGCACCTACTGGGCTTCAGCGTGCAGTGGGTGCTCGGCTGAGGGGGGCGCTGCATGGCCCGGGGCGGCCCCCCTCGGGGCCTGACAGGAGGGAGGCTCTCAAGAGCGTCCTTCGAGCTCTGAACGTCTACGATTCCACTGCGGACGACGCAACTCGGCGACCCTTTGATGCAGCTCGAGTCCACGTTGTACGCGACGGAGGCGTTCGCCCCAAGCCGGTCGGCTCAGTGGTTGGGCCCGATGCTCAGCCCATGGCGGCCGACCCCTGAAAATGGACGTTCGGGACTCCGACGGGATCGCCGCGGAGGCGATTGTCGAGCCCTACCTCGACCCCGTGCTGCATGACCCCCGCCATATGAGCGTTCTGGTCCATAAGCTGAACGACGCTGGCACGCTGCCCTTCCGACGCCGGGCCCGCTGCTTCGTCGGCGCCTTCACGGTGATCAAAAAGGACGGCTACCACCTGAGGCTGGTTCTGGACTGCAGACCGGCAAACGTCCTGCATCGTACCCCCCCGGTCAGTCAGCTGGCGACGGCATCCGCCCTGGCGGGTCTCGCGTTGCGGGGCGGGGGGGCCTTGGCGGCGGAGCGCGACACGGCGGGCCGACCCTTGGACATGCACTTTTCGGGCGCGGACCTCACCGACGGTTACTTCCAGTTGTCGCGGGCCATGTCTGCTTGTCGCATCGGGTGAAGGCCAGTGACTTCGGCGTCAAGAGAGTCTTCGACGATGATCGTCGCTGCTGGGACTCGGTGAGCGCCGACGAGGTGCTGTGGACGTGCGTCAAGGTTATCCCGATGGGCTGGACGTGGTCGCTGTTTTTCTGCCGCTCCGCGCTGACCGACGTGCAGGTTTGCGCGGAGATGGTTGACGCGCGGGTCTTGCGCGATCGTCAGCCGCCTCCGATCCTCCAGCCAGGTCTCCCCATTCTCGCGCCATACGTGGACAACGCCTTCCTGATTTGCTGGAACCAAGCGGATGCCCAGGAGTGCTTTACCTACCTGCTGGAGGAGCTGAGGCGCGGGTGGGTTCGTGTGGCGCGACGAGATCTGTGCGGGGCGCGACGTCGTGCAGGTGGGCTGCGGCTCCGGGGTTAAGTCTGAACGCACCTGGCGACTGTACTACGCTCTTCACTCTGCCATTCGGTGTCGGCGCTTCTCGGACCGCCAGATCCGTCGTCTGGTGGGGCACCTGGTCAACCACTTTATGCTGTTCCCGCGGTAATGTCAGTCCTTCACGAAGTTTGGCGCTGGCTCACCGACAATGTGGATCAGGTGGGCGTCCTGTCGTCAGCGGTGATTGGCGAGTTACAGACCGCGGCGGGCCTGGTGCTGGTAACCCGGCATCAGATGCGCTTGAGGACGGCGACCGCGGTGTTCTGCTCGGACTCCAGCGGCAAGGGCTACGCACTCCACATCGGTCAGTTCGACGTCCTCTTGGAACTGGGATGTCGAGATTCTGTCGGTCGGAGACAACCTGTCGGAGATCCTGGCTACCGAGAGAGGGCGCGCCAAGGATCGCGAGCTCAACGACCTCTGCCGCCGAGCTGGAGCCCTGCAGGGGGCCTGTGGGCTTCGGCGGCGACGTCGGCACCTTGCGAGCGAGAGGAACTGCTCCGACGAGGACTCACGTCTCGCTGATCGCGGTCTGCTGGCTGCGGGCGAGGCTTTGGGCGGGGGCGCCCTGTGGGCGCGTCTCCGAGGCCGGGGCCATCGCGACCTCGCTGACAGAGATCGAGTTCGAGTCGCCGAGTCCTTCGGCCCTGGGTCCTCGAGAGTCGAGGACGAGGCGAGAGATTGTTGTTCGAACAACGAGCTCAACTCTTCTTGTTCTTCATTGGTGACTACGGATGCAATTTTCACAAGTGGGCCGGCTCCTTCGCGGGCCGCGTCGAAGGTGCAGGCGGCGTCGGTGCCTCGGCCGAGCTCTCATGGGCGCCGGGGCGGTAGCACGCTCTCCAAGCCGATTGCCCCAGCGTTTTGCGGCCTGGCCATTTTGGAGCTGTTCGCAGGATGCGCTCGGTTTTCAGTAGCTTGTCAACAAAAAGGATTGCGAGTCGCCCCACCCTTCGACATTAGCACGTCTCAAGATTATGATATTACCAACCCGCGGGTTCTCAACAATATTCTGAGCTGGATAAAGTCTGGGGGGATATGGTTGCTCTGGCTAGGCACCACGTGCACTAAGTGGACCAGTGGACCAGCGCCCGTAGCTCTCCCCAAGCACCCGACGATATCCAGGACCCCACAGCTATGGCCACGCTACGGATTCTTCGGGTCGCTCACCAATATGGGTTAAGTGCGTACTCGAGAACCCGATTGGCTCCAAGCTCTTCAAGTGGACGCCCCTCAAGGATCTCTTCGAGGCTCAGGAGGCCCAGGAGACCATCGTGGACTACTGCCGGTATGGTACCCCTTATCGGAAGCGAACTCGTCTCATGGGAACCCTTGAAGGCCTCGCAGAAGTAGGAAGACTTTGTCGGTGTCAAGTCCCCCACGAGATCCTCCAGGGCAAGGTGGGAGTTGACGAGGGGCCAGAACGTCCTTCTATGAAATGGAAGACGACTCTTGCTGCTGCTTATCCACCCGCTCTCTGTCGCGAATTGGCTCGAGTGGTCGAGCGTCATGCTCCGCTTCTGGCTTTTCGTAATCCTCGCGAACCAGTCTTACATGTCCGATGGTGTCTCGACCTGGCGTCCTTGTTCGGAGGTAGAACGGTCGAGCCGCCGCCGTTCCTTATTTGTCCCAGAAGATTCGTACCACCGTGGGGAGATCACTCAGAGCGGTGGGGCTGCGGCGACTCGCGTCGTCGGCGGGCCAGAGCGCTTGCTGCCCAGCCTGACGGCTCCAGGAGCGCCCTCTCCGGCGCAGCGGAGGCAGCGGGCCCGGCATCAGCGTCAGGCCGCCGTCGTTCGGCGGAAGGCGAAGCGCGACCAGCTCAACGAGGCCGAGGGGGAGACCGGCTACCTGGCGAGGCGTCGGGTGAAGCCGGTGACGCTGCAGCGCTACCAGCAGGCCATGAGGGGCTTCGCGGAGGCATTCCCTCGGGCGGGGCAGGCGGACTGCTCGCTGCAGGAGTTCGACATGCTGCTCGAGAAGTACCTCACCATCCAGTTCATCAACGTCGGTGCTCGAGCTCACGAGGCCCGGGGCGTGCTCTACGGCAGCGCCTGGACGCGACGCGCCCTGGCTTCTCGCCTTCCCGCGGCCCTCAGCGCCCTCGACGGGTTCGAGAAGGAGGGCCCGGGCAACGCGCGCGATCCCTGCCCGTGGGAAGCGACGGTGTGCATCGCTGCGGCCATGATGATGCTCGACAGTTCGCTGGGACCGTCGGCAGCGGCGGCGGTCCTCCTCGGGTTCGACGCCTACAGCAGGCTCGGGGCTCTGCTCAGCATCAAAGGGCGCGATCTGCTCAAGCCCGTGCGGGGCATGAGACCTCGGCGGTGGGCCGTCGCGTTCTCCCCGGAGCCCGACGGCGCGGTCAGCAAGACGAAGACGCAGGACGACGCCGTGCTCATCGGCGAGACGCACGAGGACCGACAGTGGCTCAATCAGCTCCTGCCGCCGCTGGTTAGTGGTCTCGGCGCCACCGACAAGGCGTTCCCGATCAGCCAGGCGACGTTCAGAAAACTGTGGGCATGGAGGCGTTGAGGTTCGCGCCCCACATGCTCAGGCACGGCGTCCCCAGCGCCGACTCCCTCGCCGGCGTTCAGCTGGCGGAGATCCAGCGTCAGGGCCAATGGGCTGCTCTCAGGTCGGTCATGCGCTACAGCAAGCGCGGAAGATACCTGCGAGGTCTCAATCAAGTCCCGCTTGGGGTTCGAAGTTCATATGCCGCCAAGTTGCTCTTTCCCAAGACCAACCTGCCAGGCAAGCTGCGCAATGCATGATCATGAACCCACCCGCCCAGTCCCGCATGATCCATGGCCAAGAGTATTGTGGACGAGGCTCTGGATAGTTGGCCACGTCTTCTTTCTTGTGGAGTCTCAGCCGCGGCTGGGCCGACGGAGTCTCAGGCGAGCTGAATTCTTGAACTGGCACGATCGGGGTGGGTCGAGCGCACGTGCCAAAAATGCTTGCATTTCTCCCAGGTATCTACCATCCCATCGTCGACGGCGGTCTCTGTGATTGAGGGCTGCCTTTCCTGAGCCTGTCGGCTTCCTCCGCCTCCCCTCTCTTGGGCTCTCTCCTGGAGCCCGGTCTTTTTTGGCCCGCGGCGCTGAAGTGGAGGAAATGCCCAGTGGCTTCGCTTCCCTTTCTCCCTCGGTGAGTCGAGGGGATCGGTTATGCATGTTGATCCGTAGTCTTGGCGCTCCCTCCCTGCCATCCCCTGCGCCGGCGTTCGTTTCAAGGCAGTGGCCATGTCTTCTTTCTTGTGAAGTCTCAGCCGCGGCTGGGCCGACAGAGTTTCAGGCGAGCTGAATTCCTGAACTTGCACGCTCGGGGTGGGTCGAGCGCGCGCGCCAAAAATGATTGCAGTTCTCCCCGGCTCTACCACCCCATCGTCGACGGTCTCTGTGATTGAGGGCTGCCTTTCCTGAGCCTGTCGGCTTCCTCCGCCCCCCCTCTCTTGGGCTCTCTCGCGGGGTCCGGCCCTTTTTGGCCCGCGACGCTGATGAGAAGGAACTATATGTATGTATGTATGTATGTATGTATGTATATATATGCATATATATATATATATATATATATATTGTTTTGCTTTTTACAGCGCGTTCTGTTGAGTAGTAAACGTTATCGTAATGTTGTTAAACATTATGCAAGCCAGTGGTAAATTATTCGGCGATTTCAAGCCCTTATAATAGGAACGAATATGGATGCTTATAGTTTGGTAGCGCACTCTTTGTCATTTGATAGCGTATCTTATTCACTTGTAAAGTATATCTGGTAATTCTAACAGCGTTTTCCAATAGAGTGTTGTACCAAGTCGTAGCGCGTGCTCTACAGATTAGATGCTTTTTATGACACATGCCACTAATGAAAATATATGTGATACCATCTTGCAGCATATGCCACTAAGTAGTAAAACGTGTTCGATTATTGAATATGTTTTGCTAAATAGTAGAACCTGTTCGATTGGTCCAACGTTTTTAATAGCTGCTAAAAACGCATTCTATTATTTTGCTTGCATATCCCATTCACGTGTTAGCATATTGTATTAACCAACCGAACACATTGTATTCATTAGTTACGTAATTTATTAAGTCGCGCAATGTTACCGACGACTCTCGTAAGATATTGCTTTGAGCAGTAACATATTAGTGCTACTGCCACATATTCTTTAAATTAGAAAATACTTTTCTCAATCCATAACGTACTTAGCTTTTCGATGACAGATTTCATTAAGTTATAGAGTGTACTCTGTTACCGTACTGGCTTATTTCTTTGCTAATCAACCATATTCTAGTGATTCGGCACATGTTAATCGTCAGCGGAGCATGCTGTGCTGATTTGTCATATTCTATGTGCTGGTAGAAATACTCTATTAATTCACCTCAATGTAAGGTGCCACTACCAAATTCCAGCGTTTCCCATGCAAATCAAAGAATCCCAATCAAACTGCGTTACAGCCCAAGACTTTCTGGGGAACTTCCAAAATTCAAACTCTCTGGATCTTGCCCTCTCCCGCTCGACGATTCTGCCCCCCCCCCCCCCCCAGCCCTTCCGGAAGCGCGGGGGGGGGGCGCGAGCAGCATGTGAATGCAAATTCTAATCATTTCTTTGGGAAATCCTCATACTTCCAATCTAATTCTAGTGAATTCCAATTCTTTCCTTGGAAATTGCCAACTTCCAATCTGTCTAAGTCTTGCCCGCCCAATCCCCACTCGGCGGGTCTGTTCCGCCCGCCCCCTCCTCCCCCCCCTGATCCCTCCCGGAGCGACAGATAGGAATGCATTGGAATGCTAATTCCAATCATTGCCTTGGAAGATTTGATAATTCCAATCAAATTCCAATGGGTTCGAATTATTTCCTACGAAATTATTTCAATTGTCCTATCTTTCTGAGTCTTGCCGCCCCCCCCGCCCGCCCCCCCCGCCCGGGCCGGCGCGTCTGCGCCCCTCCCTCTCCCCCCGGAAGGGCGGGGAGGGCGCGGGCAGCATGCAAATGCAAATTCCAATAATTTTGTTGGAAATTCCAAGAATTCCAATCAACTTCCAATGAAGCTTAATTATTCTTTTCGAACTTACAGAATTCCAATGTTTCTGAGTCTTGCCCCCCTCCCAACCCTGGCCCGCAGGTCTGCGCCCCCCCCCCCCCTCCCTCGCGAAAGGGCGGGGGGGGGCGCGAGCGGCGCGCAGATGCAAATTCCAAATATTGCATTGGAGATGATAACGATTCCAATTAGATTGTTTTTGTTATTCTCTCTTCAAGCAACTGAAGATTTTAATATTTCTAAGTCTTGGGGGGGGG